AAGTAGGCCCAAGCCTGTTGTTTGAGGTCCTGCTCCAGGTCCACCTGATGCTGCTGCTGCTGCTGCGGCTGGTTAGTAGTTTCCTCACTGCGCTGGTGAAGAAAGCTACTCGTCATCGACTGCAGACTGAGGCAGCCGCTGCTGGTGGAGCTGCCACTGCTCCTACCACCCCACCCCTCCCCTGCTGCCATGGCAGCGGAACGCGAGCGCACAGGGCCCACAGTGTCTGAGGATGGACGTTGGCGCAGAAAGGCAGAGACCAACTGACTACATAGGTGGTTTTTATAGTACGTTATTTTGGCCTCCCTCTCAGCAGGTGTGAAAAAGGCCACCATTTTTGAACGGTAGCGAGGGTCCAACAAGGTGGACAGCCAAAAGTCATCCCTCTGTCTGATGGTTATTATTCGGCTGTCGCTACGCAAGCAGCCCGAGCATGCTATGGGCCATTTGTGCCAAGGAATGCGAGGGACTCCCTGCCTCCATCTCCACAGCATACTGCCACGGTGCGTCTGGGTCCTCTGTCTCCTCCTCCTCCTCCTCTACCAGATGCTCCTGCTCCTCCACTCCTGTCCGCTGAGTGGAAAAAAACCACCCATTTCACTCAATAATTCCTGAGCACCAATGTCCTCCTCTACCTCCTCCTCTTCTTCCTGTCCTGCCCCCACAGGGGTCATGTGGCGTTGAGATCTGTGCGCCACGTCTACCGCACCCTGACCAGCCATTGTTAACAGCATTTGTTCCAGGACGTGCAACAGAGGAATGACGTCGTTCATCCCATAGTCCTGCCGACTCACGAATAGCGTGGCCTCCTCAAAGGGCCTGAGCAAGCGGCAGGTGTCACGCATGAGCTGCCAATGGCTGACATCTAAGTTACACAGGGGAGTACCTTTATCCGCTTGTAACATCAGGAAATCGGTGATGGCCTTTCGCTGCTCGTAAAGGCGATCTAACATGTGTAGGGTTGAATTCCACCTTGTTGCAACGTCGCAGATCAGGCGATGCTGTGGAATTCCGTTCTGCCGCTGCAGCTCAAGGAGGGTGTGCTTTGCGGTGTAGGAATGGCTGAAATGCATGCAAAGTTTACGTGACATTTTAAGGATGTCTTGCAGTGGGATGGTGGATTTTAGGAACCGCTTGACAACCAGATTGAACACGTGAGCCATGCATGGCGCATGGCACAACCTTCCTTGACGCAGAGCAGACACCATGTTCTTTCCGTTGTCGGTCAACATGGTTCCGATTTTCAGTTTGCGCGGAGACAGCCATCTGTCGATTTCTCTGTTCATTACACTCAGAAGTTCCTCCCCTGTGTGACTACGTTCGCCAAGGCATACCAGGTGCAGCACAGCGTGACACCGTTGCGCCCTGCACATGTGATATGCCGGTCGGGTAATGGGACTTGGCACGGGGGTGGCGGCTGAGGACACGGCGGAAGAAGAGGTGGTAGAGGCGGACATCTTTGCTGGACCAAGGACGTGCAAACGTGGAGGCAAAAGCGGCGTGACCTGTCCAAGTTGCTGGTGCGGCTGTGCCGGCACCACGTTCACCCAGTGGGCCGTAAATGACATGTACTGTCCCTGACCGTAGTTACAGCTCCACACGTCGGCGCTGCCGTGCACTTTGGCAGAGACCGACATGCTCAAAGACTGGCCCACCATCTCTTCTACATGTGAATGCAGGGCTGGCACTGCCTTTTTGGCGAAGAAATGCCGGCTTGGCACTCTCCACCGCGGCTAGGCACAAGCCATCATTTCTCGGAAAGGTGCTGAGTCCACCACTTGGAAAGGGAGGGACTGCAGCACCAGCAACTTGGACAGGAGGACGTTCAGCTTCTGCACCGTCGGGTGCGTGCTCGCAAACTGTTGTCTCTTGGAAACGGATTCCAAGAAAGACTGCTGACGGAATCCGTGAAGAGGAGTAGCAGGAGAAGGAGCATCTGAACGAGCGGAACAACTCCCCTCAGCAGAGGTGTTGGAGCCTTGACTGGCTGATAGAGGGCGATTGACGTCGGGTGACGGAGCAAGTAACGGAGCGGGTGATGGAGCGGGGGCTGGGGCAGGCAGAACCGCCGTATCTTTATCACGGTTTTCCCAGGCCACCGAATGGCGACGCTGCATATGCTGACGCAACGCTGTAGTTTGCCCCCGCTACTCCTCACTGGCTGACTGCTACTTCCTCCGTGCACACCGGCACCACTACTGGCCGTGGTGGTAGGCTGCAGTGGAGCTGGTGCTCTACTCCGTGGCCGTTTGCCTCCACTGACACTGCTGCGACCCTGCTGCCTCCTGGGCAACCCACCGACTGTTTTGCTCGCTGGCAAGCTGGCACCCTCTTCTCCTGATGATGCGGAAGCAATAGCCTGATGACGACGAGGCTGCCAAGTGCGATCAGCCTCATCATCATCAATTAGGGTCTCCGCGTCACTACTAGCCCCCTCGGCTGCGTGTGGGTCAGGAGACAGACCTGTCTCTAGACCGGCTACCGAGCCACTCTCCTCGCCAGTACTTCTTTGCCTGGCTGCTGAAGAGGCGGATGTCTCCCCCCGTTCCTGACCGCCCTCTGTTAGCTCTTCCTCACTGTACAGTGGGGCTGAGCCCACAGCATGCGATACTTCGCTTGGTGAGGGAACACCAAAGGACAGGGGCAGGTAGAGGACACGTGATTTCAGTGGGCTTGCTCCCGGGCCATGCCAACTAACGGTTGTGTCTGACGTACCCACCGACCGTTGGCTGTAGGTGTCAGAGGTGACCTGGGAAGAGGAAGACGACCGAGTCAACCAATCGATGACGGCAGGGTTGTCGGTGGAGACACGACCGCTGGATGACACCGGGAGCACTGGCCTCTGGCTGCGACTAGTGCTGCCTCGACCCCTTCCTCTGCTGCCACGTCTGCTCGCTCCTGAAACATTGCCTCCTCTGCCACTCCTCTGCGTGTTGTCTGACATACTCTTTAATTCAATAAGCACCCCAAAAATAAAACCGGATTTAACTCTTTGAACGTACAATAGTGGTTGTGAAGCAGAAAGTCAGTTTATTTAGCACAATCGGTCAATTGCAGCTTGCCGTTGGCTGGAAACTGTACGTTTATGTCACTGGAATGCACTAATCACCCAAAAAATATTACCGCCACCCGGCGTGTAAATGGATCTAACTCTTTGAACGTACAATAGTGGTTGTGAAGCAGAAAGTCAGTTTATTGTACACAATCGGCAAACTGCAGCACACCAACTGTGCACGACAGCCACCAAAAAAAAAAAATGGTGTATGTCACTTTAAATTTTTCGATTCTTTGATAGCTGTGGCCCTAAGTAACGATTCTGTGTCCCTGAGTAACGATTCTGTGTCCCTGAGTAACGATTCTGTGTCCCTGAGTAACGATTCTGTGTCCCTGAGTAACGTTTCTGTGGCCCTAAGTAACGATTCTGTGTCCCTGAGTAACGATTCTGTGTCCCTAACGATTCTGAGTAACAATTCTGTGTCCCTGAGTAACGATTCTGTGTCCCTGAGTAACGATTCTGTGGCCCTAAAGTCTCTGTGGCCCTAACTCTGTCCCTCAATACACAGAGGTCTGTCTCTCTTGAATGACCGGAGGCTAATGGAGAATTCTAAGATGGCCGCGATTTATAGCTCCACCATTACACAGTGCTGGCTGGCTGGCTGCTGATTGGCTAATGCGATCACATGTCATGATTCATGACTCATGAATGCATTATGGGTCAGCGCGCCTTGTCTGCGCGCCTTCCCAGAGATCCCCGCCCTATCTTCTCTGTCCATTTTCTCCTGTCGCCACACATGTCGCCGCCATTTTTGGGAAAATTCGATTCGTGCATCCGAAGTTTGCTAATCTTCGGATTCGTCGCGAATAGAATTTTTCCAAATCTTCGGAACGAATTCCACTTCGTCATGTTCGATTCGCTCATCTCTAGCACTGATCACAGGCCCGGCCATTCCTTAAATACACCTCCTGCAATCAGCCTCAGGTGATGGCCGATTGCAGGAGTGAGTCTCTGGTTGCTGAGAGCACCCGCTGGCCAGCCCTGGTACTGCAGCCCACAAAGCAGGTGAGTCCCACCACCATTGGCAAGTCCATTCCTGACACTCTCACAATGGTTAATGGGCTTCAGATGGCACCAGTTGTTTCTAGGTTGTTTCTTCTTTTCTCTGTTCATTTGTTTATAAAAGGTAAAAGTGACACCATAGACAAAGCAAGTTATTGTTCTGTATGATCTGTAACAGTGCCACAACTGCCTATACGTGAGAATGTATGACTCCATTGTCTGGGCTGAATGTTGGGAATACTGTGCGCACTTAGAAACTTTATTAACCACTTGCCTACCAGGCACTTACCCCCTTCCTGCCCAGGCCAATTTTCAGCTTTCAGCGCTGCCGCACTTTGATTGACAATTGCGCGGTCATGCAACATTGTACCCAAATGAAATTTTGATCATTTATTTCTCACAAATAGAGATTTCTTTTGGTGGTATTTCATCGCCACTGGGCGCTTTACTTTTTGCGCTATAAATAAAAAAAGTGCAAAAAATTTGAAAAAAAAAAAGTTTTTTTGTTTCTATTATAACATTTTTCAAACAGGTATTTTTTCTCCTTTACTGATGTGCGTTGATGAGGCAGCACTGATGGGCACTGATAGGCGGCACTGATGGGCACTGATAGGCAGCACTAAAGGGCACTGATAGGCAGTACTAAAGGGCACTGATAGGCAGTACTAATGAGGTGGCACAGATAGGCGGCACTGATAGACAGCACTAATGAGGTGTCACGGATAGGCGGCACTAATATGCAGCACTGATAGGTGGCACTGATAGGGGTGACACTGATGATGGGTACTGATAGACGGCACTGACTGGCATCACTGCTGGGCACTGACTGGCAGCACTGACTGGCACAACCCCTGGGCACTGACTGGTGGCACTGACTGGCAGCACTGCTGGGCTGCACTGGTGGGTGGCACTGGTGGGCAGCACTGGTGGGTGGGCACACAGGTGGGCACTGGTGGCACTGGTGGGCACAGGTGGGTGGCACTGCTGGGCACAGGTAGGTGGCACTTCTGGGCACAGGTGTGTGACACTGCAGAGTGGCACAGGTGGGTGCACTGCTGGGCACAGGTGGGTGCACTTCTGGGCACAGGTGGGTGATCTGCTGGGCACAAGTGGGCGGAGCTAGTGGGCGCACTTCTGGGCACAGGTGGGCGGACCTTGCGGGTGGCACTGCTGGGCACCGATCATCAGGGCACTGATCATCAGTGCCCTGATGATCGGTGCCGATCCCCGCTCTGACAACTGCCGGTTCTCGGCAGTACTTTCCTCACGATCTGACAGCGTGAGGAAAGTGCAGCCGAGAACCGGCACTTGCATTTCCCTCTGATCAGCGTGTCATTGGACACCGCTGATCACGTGGTAAAAGGCCGCTGTGATTGGCCTTTTACCACATCACGTGATCAGCTGTGTCCGTAGGACACAGCGATCACGGAGATCGCCGGGTGCGCGCGCCCCTGGGGCACGCAGGAGAGCGCGTTCTGGGAGGACGTCATATGACGTCCACCCAGAACTGGCCGGCCGCAGTGCAGCCGTCATTCGGTTATCTGCGGTCGGCAGGTAGTTAATAAAATCTATTTGATTAAAAAATACTGTAGATAATGCTGTACATATTCTTTCTATTCATAAGATATATTTAGTAATGAGCATTAAAAAATAGAAAGCAACTTTATGTAGCCCTTTATATAGAATTTTATTATTTTTTTTTTTTTTTTTTACAGGTGGATTGATATGAACCAAGTTTTCGGTCATGTTGGTCTTCATGAATAGAGCTGAGTCACATGGAAAACAAGACATATGGGTGTCTTAATTGACTGAAAGTCTTTATTGCAGTTCACTGGAGGATTCACACGGGATACAAGTCATATCTGTGTTCTAAAAGTCATGGTTTGGATCCTCTTCCACATTGATCCAGCAGGAGAAAAGTAATTTCAGTGTTCTGGAAGTGACAATGGCTTTACAATAACGTCCAACCCAAGTATACATAAGAGGAGTCATTTCATACTACTTCTTGTTTGGAGATTTTACAAATGGAGAGAAAATATATATCACACACCAGAAGGTTCACAATGGAGGGAAGTCATATCAGTGTTCTGACTGTGATAAAGCTTTTACATGGAAGTCAGATCTTATCAGACACCAGAGGATTCACACTGGAGAGAAGTCATCATATCAGTGTTCTGAATGTGATAAAGCTTTTACACAGAAGTCACATCTTATCAGAACCAGAGGATTCACACTGGAGAGAAGCCATATCAGTGTTCTGAATGTGATAAAGCTTTTAAATGGAAGTCACATCTTATCAGACACCAGATTGTTCACACTGGAGAGAAGTCATATCAGTGTTCTGATTGTGATAAAGCTTTTACACAGAAGTCAGAACTTATCACACACCAGAGGATTCACACTGGAGAGAAGACATATCAGTGTTCTGAATGTGATAAAGCTTTTAAATGGAAGTCAGATCTTATCAGACACCAGAGGATTCACACTGGAGAGAAGCCATATCAGTGTTCTGAATGAATGTGATAAAGCTTTTACAAGGAAGTCAAGTCTTATCACACACCAGAGCGTTCACACTGGAGAAACAAGTCCATATCAGTGTTCTGAATGTGATAAAACTTTTACACAGAAGTCACATCTTATCAGACACCAGAGGATTCACACTGGAGAGAAGTCATATCAGTGTTCTGAATGTGATAAAACTTTTACAGTGAAGTCACATCTTATCACACACCAGATGATTCACACTGGAGAGAAGCCATATCAGTGTTCTGAATGTGATAAACTTTTACAGTGAAGTCATATCTTATCACACACCAGATTGTTCACACTGGAGAGAAGCCATATCAGTGTTCTGAATGTGATAAAGCTTTTACAGTGAAGTCACATCTTATCACACACCAGAGGATTCACACTGGAGAGAAGTCATATCAGTGTTCTGAATGTGATAAAGCTTTTACACAGAAAGTCAAATCTTATCACACACCAGATTGTTCACACTGGAGAGAAGCCATATCAGTGTTCTGAATGTGATAAAGCTTTTACAGTAAAGTCACATCTTATCAGACACCAGAGGATTCACACTGGAGAGAAGCCATATCAGTGTTCTGAATGTGATAAAGCTTTTACAGTAAAGTCAAGTCTTATCACACACCAGAGGATTCACACTGGAGAGAAGCCATATCAGTGTTCTGAATGTGATAAAGCTTTTACATGGAAGTCATATCTTATCACACACCAGAGGATTCACACTGGAGAGAAGCCATATCAGTGTTCTGAATGTGATAAAGGTTTTACACGGAAGTCATATCTTATCGCACACCAGAGATTGTTCACACTGGAGAGAAGCCATATCAGTGTTCTGAATGTGTTAAAGCTTTTACTCGGAAGTCACATCTTATCAGACACCAGAGGATTCACACTGGAGAGAAACAGTGAAGTCAATCTCATATCAGTGTTCTGAATGTGATAAAGCTTTTACACAGTGAAGTCAAGTCTTATCACACACCAGAGGATTCACACTGGAGAGAAGTCATATCAGTGTTCTGAATGTGATAAAGCTTTTACAGTGAAGTCAAGTCTTTATCACACACCAGAGGATTCACACTGGAGAGAAGTCATATCTGTGTTCTGAATGTGATAAAATTTTTACAGTGAAGTCAAATCTTATCAGACACCAGAGGATTCACACTGGAGAGAAGTCTATCTGTGTCTGAATGTGATAAAAGCTTTTACACAGAAGTCAGATCTTATCACACACCAGATGATTCACACTGGAGAGAAAGTCATATCAGTGTTCTGAATGTGATAAAAGTTTTACAAAGAAGTCACATCTTATCACACACCAGAGGATTCACACTGGAGAGAAGCCATATCAGTGTTCTGAATGTGATAAAGCTTTTACACTGAAGTCACATCTTATCACACACCAGATTGTTCACACTGGAGAGAAGCCCATTTTAATGCTCTCAATGTGACAAAACTCTTACAGTTAATGCCTGTCTAAATATTTTATCTTTTTGACAATTTTTTTTAAGATAAGCATCAATAACCAAAAAGCTTCCCATGATTTCATCTTTATCTTTTTTTTTTTATGGAGCTTTGAATGAACATGCAATGAATTTTCATGATTCACCAACTGAGTTGTGTTTCCAAGCATTTTCTTCATTTCTGGATCCTGAGGTAATACATGACAACACTGCCTCAGTACCAGAGACTAGGATGGGGTCTATTGTCATCTTACCAAGTCTCTGAAGCCTCAGTGGGAGAGTCCATTCCAGGATTTCTGACTATTGATACATGCATCAGCCAGGCTTGAGGTCTCCAGCTAAGCCCACCTTGTCCACTCCTCCCATTACATGTTCCATCTCCTCTCCCATTATCAATGCCTTCTTTCCACATTTCATCTCCTCTCATTATTATTATTATACAGGATTTATATGTGCCAACAGTTTGCTCAGCGCTTTACAATACAACGGGAGACAATACAGCAACAATAATGTTAAATACAAGAGGGATAGGAGGACCCTGCTAGTTATACAAAAGGTAGTAACTGTGGGGGATGGACTGGTTGGAAGAGTAGAAGATTCCAGTATTAGCTGAGGGCAGGATATGCTTCCATGAAGAGAGGGTTTTCATAGATCGCCTAAAAGTGAGCAGAGTAGGCGATAGTCTGATAAATTTGGGGTAGAGCATTTCCAGAGGATGGGGGAAGCTCTGGAGAAGTCCTGGAGATGAGCATGGGAGGAGGAGACAAGGGAGCTAGAGAGCAGGAGGTTGTGCGAGGAGCGGAGAGTACGGTTTGGGGATATTTGGAGACAATATTGGTGATGTAATTTGGATCAGAGTTATAAATGACTTTATATGTTATTGTTAATGTTTTGAATTTTATCCGTTGGGCAATGGGAAGCCAGTGGGAGGGATTGGCAGGGGGGGTGGGAGGACACTGAATGGAGGCCAGTGGATGGATTGGCAGAGGGGGGTGGAGGACACTGAATGGAGGCCAGTGGAGGGATTGGCAGAGAGGGGTGGAGGACACTGAGTGAAGGCCAGTGGAGGGATTGGCAGTGAGGGGTGGCTGATACAGAACGGTTAGTAAGGTGGATGAGTCTGGCAGCAGCATTCATGATAGACTGAAGAGGGAATAGCCTGCGATGAGGTCGGCCAATGAGGAGGGAGTACAATAGTCAAGGCGAGAGATATAACAAGGGAGTGAATAAGTTGCTTAGTGGTTTCCGAGGTTAAGAACGGCCATATCTTGGAGCTGTTGCGGAGGTGAAATCTACAAGATTTGGACAGTGATTGTATTTGGGACTGAAAGGACAGATGGGAGTCTAGGATTACACCTAGTACCCTGGCATGAGGGGAGGGACTGATGATTGTGTTATTGATCTTGATGGAGAAGTCAGGGAAGAGGGCACAGGCTGGAGGGAATACTAAGAGCTCAGTTTTGGAAAGATTGAGTTTGAGGAAGTGGAGTGTGACATCCATGCCGATATGTCGCTTAGTAGGGTAGTAATGCGAGAGGAGACTGAAGGGGCAAGGTGAGGAGGAGACTGAAGGGGTGAGGTGAGGAGGAGACTGAAGGGGTGAGGTGAGGGATAGAAAGATAGATTTGTGTGTCATTAGCATAGAGGTGGTACTTAAAGCCTGGGAGTTTATCAAGTGACAAAGGGAGGAGTTGTAGATGGAGAAGAGTAGGAGTCCAAGGACGGAACCTTGAGGGACCCCTACAGAAAGAGGGAGTGGAGAGGAGGAGGCAGAGTTATAGGTAACGCTGATGGAGAGCTGCGATAGATAGGAGGAGAACCAGGAGAGAGCAGAGACTTGGAGGCCAAAAGAGTTGAGTTTTTTGAGAAGGAGGGGATGGTCAACTGTATCAAAAGCTGCAGAGAGGTCAAGTAGTAAGAGTACTAAGTAGTGGCCATTGGTTGGGGGATGAGTACAGAGTAGTGGCCATTGGTTGGGATGAGTACGGAATAGTGGCCATTGGTTGGGATGAGTACGGAGTAGTGGCCATTGGTTGGGATGAGTACGGAGTAGTGACCATTGGTTGGGATGAGTACGGAGTAGTGGCCATTGGTTGGGATGAGTACAGAGTAGTGGCCATTGGTTGGGATGAGTATGGAGTAGTGACCATTGGTTGGGATAAGTATGGGGTAGTGGCCATTGGTTGGGATGAGTATGGAGTAGTGACCATTGGTTGGAATGAGTATGGAGTAGTGGCCATTGGTTGGGATGAGTATGGAGTGGTGGCCATTGGTTTTAGCAGTTACTAGATCATTAGTGAGGTTTAGTAGGGCAGTGTCAGTGGAGTGTAGTGAGGGAATTCCAGACTGTAAAGGGTCAAGAAGGTTGTTGTCAGTGAGGTGGGAGGAGCTCAGGCGATTGTAGACTAAGAGTTCTAGGTGTTTAGAGGTAAATGGCAGCAGGGAGATGGGTTTTAAGTTGTTCAGGTTGGTGGGGTCCAGGGAGGGCTTTTTAAGTATGGGAGTGATGTGCGCATGCTTTAGAGGGGAGGGGAGACGGGCTTCTGAGGAAACCTTAGTGACCTCTTCGGTAGTAGCAAGGTCAAAAGAGGAAAGTGTTGAGGGAGGTTTAGTATAAGGTATGCTAAGTGGGATGGATGTCTGTGCAGTGGAGATGCCGCTACGAATTGCATCAATCTTGTTTTTGAAATGATTTGCAATCTCGTGAGCAGTGAGTGAGGTACTGGGTGGAGGTGGAGAAAGTAGAGAGTTAGAAGTAGAGAAGAGACAACGAGGACTGGATGACAAGCTATTGATGAGAGTGACAAAGTAGGCTTGTCTGGCAGCATGGAGGGAGGAATTGTATGTGAAGAAAGCAGATTTATATCGGGTGAATGCTTGGTGAGATTTGGTTTTATGCCACATTCGCTCCAGCACACGACTATGTCGTTTAACCATTAGCCGCCCGGCCAATGGCCGTTTGGCGGCTTCAAAACAGTCTCTGCATTCCGGGTGCACGCCATTTGGCGTGCTCCCGCACATGCGCCGTTTGTGCTAATGCAGAGCGACGCAGCAGTGCAATCTGTCATCAGCCGTGCACCTCGGACACGGCCGATGACAGATCCGAGTACCGGCTCCCGTTGCCGGTACCATGTGACCTGCTGTGACCAATCACAGCAGGTCACATGACAGTTGTATACAATGGATGGCTTCATTCATGATGGATGGCTTCATTCATGATGCCATCCATTGTATACTAGTGCCTAGCTGTGAATGGTCACAGCTAATCACATGCACATGTCATGTGATTAGCTGTGGCCAAATCACAGCTAAGCACAAAAAAAAAAGAAAAGCTGAATGAATCGATTTCATTCAGCTAAATGCTTGTTTATAGCAAAGTAATTCTTTGCTATACGCTTTACGCACTGGTGACAGATGTAAAAAAAAAAAAAAGTGAAAAAAATTTTTTTAATTTTTATTTTCCGAAAAAAAATGACAAAAAAATACAACTTCAAAAAATCGCCTCCCTTATGGTACGTGGGGTGTTACCTGCAAAAAAGGGGGTATCTGTACTGTTCTGACATTTGGGGGAATCTTTACCGCTGACATTTTGGATCGAAAAAAGTTCTGCATTTGGGGTATCTTTCCGTCTTCCCCCTTTGGAATCTGTAAATTTCCTACAAATAAAAAAAACATCCAATTTGGGTTATTTTTCACCAAAAGAATGTAGCGAATAATTTTCGGGCCTTAAAATTTGAAAACCCTTTCTTTATTTTGGGAAAACTTTTTTAACGAAGAAAAAAAAAACGTGTTTTTTTTTTCAAAAATTTTGGTCTTTTTTTTTGAATTTTTTAAAAAAAAAAAACCCAGGGGGGTTTTACCCCAAAAGAAAACTCTGTTTGTTTGAAAAAAT